GGCTGCTGAAAGCAGGTACTGGGTTTGTTTGGGTTCTATAATTGAAACACTGTTGCGGTCCTGCTGGCTGAAGCCCTGCTGGCTGAAAGCAGGTTTCTGGAGTTTGTTTAGCTTCTATACTTGCAACATTGTTTCTTAGAGTGCAAGCTCAGAGGCCAGCAGCGGCAGACGGGGAACCTTGGCTTCCTCCATCACTGGAGCAAGCAAGCCTCCTGTTCGCTTCAGTGCCTGGCTGCCGGCCGCCATCTTGGTTGGCAGTTAATTTGCATAAGGATATGCTGATTAGCCAATGGGAAGGGTGTTGGGGTTATGGTCAATTTGCATGTTTCTCTTTTATTAGATAGGATGTATATATATTATGTATCTTTATATTTTCAGAAATGAAAGGAATCACTATAAAGTTAGAAGATTTGTCAATAGGGAATAGGGTGAAGATGGTAGGGCTCAGACCACTTAGTAAAAGAAGCTGTTTGACAGGTTTGACTTTGGAGCCATGTAAACATGTTATAAAACAAAATGAAATGTTAAAAGCATTCCAGAACGAGTGTGTTATTCAAACCCTCTCACCATCCAGCCCTTTCACCATCCCTTGGCTCTCCACACATGGGCTCTGTTCCAACTCTGGGGGTTTGATTCCCAGAGTGCATGTTGCTTACATTATCATTTCAGCAGACTCAGCTGTGGAGCTTCCCAATGCTGTCACTCTCAGATTATCAGCTAATAGGTCCCAGAGGTTAGTGATATCTATAAGCAAGTATCTGTATAGAATCTGGGGGGATTCCTTTTTATTGCAAATGGTAAATAGCCCTCATGCATTTAGTCCATCACATTTTAAAACATACATTTCTTCTCTTGCTTATACATTTTCTGATAGGAAACTCTGCAAGGATCATTTTGCAGTTAATCAATGTTGAAGGCGCTCATCCTAAAAATATTGCTGGAGGCTCAGAGATTAGGGTGAGGTGGGTACAGGGACATAATTCACTGTCTTAAAGGCCTTGGCAACAGAGTGCGAAACAGAAATGTCAGCTGATGGTTGTGGTTAATGAAACCTCACTCTGTACCCATTTAATTCTCTACTTGAAAATGACACAATAGGCTCATTTTTGAGGGCTGCCTGATTCCTCCAGGGGATATTTGGATTCTGAATCAAGTCCTGAGCCTCATTCAGAACTTTCTACCACAGCCGACTTAGAAGCTTTGGTGCCAGGAATACTGATCTATACATGTCCCCAGTGCCAGCAACCCAGAAGCTGCGCAGTCTAAGCTGACATTAATTATCTACTACAAGTGTGCCTGAGGTCACATCGCCCGCCCTGTGCCGCAGGTCCGGGAGGCCCAGCCCCTCGTGGACACCCGTGCCCCGCTGTTTCTCAGCCACTTCCACCTGAACCTCAAGAAGCTGAAGGTATCTTTCCATTTTACTTCTTAGCTACCATCACAGCTAACTAGAAAATGTCAGCTTCAAAACCCAGGAAAATGGGAAAGGCAGGCTCAGTGAGGAATAAACAAGTCACTATCAAAGATAGAATGCTGTCTAGGCAACCAATTAACCTTGTCACGCTCCAAATGGAACTGGCGGGAATTGCACCAGAAATCTTTCTCTAGTCTTCATGTTGATCCATCATGCTTTGAGGAAAAGGGGGAGGGGGAGGAGAGGAAATTCACAGTGGTCATTTAGTTATTCAGTAATTAAGTAATTAGCATCATTTCTTTATACCAGGCCATTTCATGGCCACCTCAGAATATATATTTCTTGATGCTTAAGCCATCAAGTGAAACTAAGAATCACATAGGTTATGCTGATAATAATGCCCCCAAAAGCAAACCACTATGTGCTTTTTATGTGCCTGTTAAGTAATACTATCCTAAATTAGCAGAACAAAAACTATGTAACCACTTTCTAGCAAATCAACAGATCAATCAATGTAAAAACCTAAAACAAGAGGGTTGTTGTTTTCCCTGGGCTTAAATCTTTTCTTCTGAGCAGTATAAGATATCTTTCTTAAAATATAAAGTGATTTCCTCAGTAGCATCACTGACACAGGTCAGAGTTTTAGAGGATGACATACTTTCAGAAAGAATCATATCATTCTTTCTGTGACTTTCACTCTGAGCATATGAAATTTGGCTCCATCCTAATGGTTTCCAATTCAGAGACCAAGGAGCCTGCACATGTCACTCATGCTGGAGCTTGGGGGCAATGGGAAACCCACAGGTTGCTCAAGTCAAAGGGGTTGAGGGATCCTCTGGATAAACCTGTGCACAGTAATAGCACAGATGCAGCTGGTGCTTGTAGAGGCTCCTGTGTCTGCCCACAGCTGGAGGAGGAGAGGCTCTCCGTCATCGACAGGGACAACCGCCTGCTGCTGGAGAAGGTGGCCTGCATCATGAGGACCAGGGGACAGACTGACAGCAGAGATGACTACACACACAGGAGGTAACTGGGGCCCAGAACCACCCGGAAGGACCCGGAGCGCTTGGCTCCAGGGCCTGAGCAGAAGAGTTGCCCATGAGACAGAGTGAGGCATTTCCGTCCTCCCTCAACCACATGCCAGAGAATGAATGGCCTTTTTCTCTGTGGTCCATGTTTTACCTGAGACGTGGCTTCACTCAGGAAGGTCTGGGACAGGTGGAGTCGGCCTGGGTGTCAGGAACATCCTGTGCCTCCTAGTTGCACCCACTATCCAGTCGCTGTCATTAAAATCTGGAGCTATGGGTCAACCTCCATTTTCCTTGGACAGTTTACATTAGATCTAGCATCACTTTCCACTTTAAAGACAGATATTTAATCTGAGTGCAAAATCACTGTTCAGTATTGATTACCTTAAAGCTGTGATGAAGGGCCTAGTCTAACAGTTAATCCCCGGTATCATTCAGAGAGAAGCTTACCATTGTCCCCACTTCAGCTCCAGTGCTCTGAGATTTTACCCAGGGAGAGAAGCAGACCAGAGCACAGAGAGCTCCTGGTCTCACCCCAAAAGGAAATAACATCATTTGCAGCCTAGTGTGGAGAAGTCCAAGCCTTATTGGACATGAAATAAAAGGCATCCCAATTGGGAAGAAAGAAAGAAAGAAAGAAAGAAAGAAAGAAAGAAAGAAAGAAAGAAAGAAAGAAGTCTCTATTCACAGACGATATGATCTTGCATATAGAAAATCCTAAGGAAACCACTAAAAAAATAAGCTATTAGACCCAATACACAAGTTCAACACGGTAGCAGGATACAAGATCAATATACAAAAGTCTCTTGTATTTTCATATACTTGCAATGAACAATCTGAAAATGAAATTAATATAATTCTACTCACAAAAGTATCAAACAGAATAAAATACTTGTGAATAAATTTAACAAAGGAAGTGCAAAATTATATTCTGAAAAACTACAAAATATCATTGAAATAAATTAAAGAAGATCTAAATAAATGGGGAAAAAATCTCATGTTCATGGTTCAGAAGACTCAATATTGTTAAGATAGCAATATTCTCCAAACTGGCCTACAGATTCAGTGCAATTCCTATCAGAATCCCAGCTTACTTCTTTGCAGAAATTGACAAGCTGGTTCTAATCAGATGGAATTGTAAGGGACACCAAATAATCAAAACACTCCTGAGAAAGAAGAATAAAGCAGGATTTCAAACTTACTACTAAGCAATGGTAATCAAAACAATGTGGTACTTGCATAAGTGCAGACATTTAGAATATATTTAATAGAATGGTATAGTATTAAGAGTCCAGAAATAAGCCTATGTGTCTGTTGTCAATTTATTTTCAACAAAGGTGCCATGACCCCTCAATGGAGAAAAAATAGTACTATCAATAAATGAAGCTGAGACAACTCGTTATTCATATGTAAAAGAATAAAGTTGGATTCTTACCTCATCCCATATATGGATCAAAGCCTAAATGTAAGAGCTGAAACTGTTCAACTTTCAGAAGAAAACATAGAGGTGAATCTTTCTGACCTTATATTGGGCAGTGATATTAGATATGACACCAAAAGCATGAACAACAAAGGAGAAAATAGATAAGCTTAATCAAAATTAAAAACGTTTGTGCTTTGCCCTAGTCCATTTGGCTCAGTGGATAGAGCATCAGCCTGCAGACTGAAGGGCCCCTGGTTCGATTCCAGTCAAGGGCATATGCCTGGCTTATGGCTCAATCCCAAGTAGGGGTTGTGCGGGAGGCAGCTGATCAATTATTCACTCTCATCATTGATATTTCTATCTCTCTCTCCCTCTCCCTTCCTCTCTGAAATCAATAAAAATATATTTAAAAATATAAAAATAAGAAAAATGTTTGTGTTTCAAAGAACACTATTAAGACAGTGAAAAGACACCCCACAAAATGAGAGAAAATATTTGCAAATCATATACATTATATGATAAGGGTATTGTACCTAGAATATGTGAAGAACTCTTACAGACTAATGATAAAAAGACAACCAAATTTTAAAAATGGGTAAAAGACCTGAATAGATATTTCTTCAAGGAAGATATACAAAAGACCAAAAAACACATGAAAAAATGCTCAATGTCATTAGTCACCAGGGAAATGCAAGTCAAAACCACAATATGATACCACTTTCCACCCATTAGGTTGGCTAGAATAAAAAAGGCAGATAATAGCAAGTGTTGGTTAGGATGTGGAGAAATTAGAACCCTCATTCACTGCTGGTGGGAATGTAAAATGGTGCAGTCACTTTGGAAAGAAGTCTAGCTGTTCTTCAAATAATTGAACATTAGAGTTGCCATATGATTCAATAATTCCACTCCCAGTTACATACACAAGAGAAATGAAACATGTCCACAAGTAAAACTTGTCCATAAATGTTTACAACATTATTCATAATAGCCAAAAAGTGGAAACAACCCAAATGCCCATCAACCGAAGAATAAACTATAAAGATGTAATTTTGTGACATCAATAACCAAAAAGATGAAGACAGTTATAACGGAACAGTTTTTGTATATCACTGAAGTTAAGCTGGTATAAATTCAATTAAGAGTGTTATAACTTTAGGATGTTAAGCACAAAATCCCCATGATTAAGCACAAATCAAACAGCTATTGAATATACACAAAAGGAAATGAGAAAGGAATTTAAATGTTTCACTGCAAAAAGAAAAAAATCCAACACAAAAGAAGACAGTAATACGGGAAATGAGGAACAAAAAACTGTACAGCATATGGAAAACAAATAGAAAGATGGAAAAAGTTCCTCCTTATCAGTAAATGCCAGTGCCTCTTCTATACCCCTTCATTTCAACACGCTCTAATGCTGCAGATTTCTTCACACATCCACGCCTTTAGCCCTGTTGTCACCCTGAGCATCAGCTGAACAGGTGACTTCACAAATCGTGACCTAAAATGCATATTTGACTGTGGTTTGAAGCCATTCGATGACTCTACATTGCCTTCAACATAGGTCAGAACTCCTTGAGCTGCGCACGAGCCTCTGTCAGCTTCCCACTGCACTCTTGCCAGATGTGCCATGCCACCTGGGATGTCCTTGCTCTCCTTGCTTGCCTGGTGACTCCCACTTTTCTTCCAAGCCTCTGTCCCAGCATTACTTCTGATTGCACCTCTTCCCACTACGGTCAGGAAGTCCTGAGCATTCCTACCTCTGTGTCTCCACCTGCATCTATAACATTGCATTAAATTTTCTCCCTACATCTAATCTCCCTTAATTGGGCCATGAGGTCCCTGAGTTCAGAGCTACTGGTAGGTGAGTTCATCTTTGAAACCCAGCATCTCCCAATCTGGGCACCTGGAGAAGAATGGGCTACCAAGTGTTTGCAACCAAGAGCATACACTCCCTCTCTGAGAGCCCCTCCTACCCTGTTGGCACTCAGGCTTCCCTCATGAATGCAGAATGATAACTCTGTCCCTGGCTGTAACTCTCTCACTGCTCCAAGAAATATCTATGGTGTTTTTTTTGTTGTTGCTGTTTTTAGTCTAAACAGGGGGAAAAGAGAACAGAAACTTCGCAGAGTTCAAAGGAAAGCAATGTGCTTCAAAGAGAAAACAAAATCAGTCTGGGAAGGATCACAAACTCAGAGCCATTGTATGGAGCTAAAAAATGGCAAGAAGACTGGGCAAGGACTGAGAAGTACCGGCACGCCCTCGAGAAGTATCCTGGGAGTGGGCAGACGGGCAAGGGAAAAGGTAACTGTGGTTTCTTTTTCATTTTAAATCCATAGCTATTTCAAATCTCCATTTACTTCCTCAGATTTATCAAACATATGAGCTCACTTATTCTTTGCTTGTTTAGGGCATTTTATTCTGTTGTCAACAAGCCTATGCCAAATGGTCATACCCTAATAATAGAAGACACAGAACAATGATTCAACTGATGAATTCCTCCACACAAACAAAAATTGTGAGGAGATAAAAATGAGCTCAGTTGACTGATTATAGGCTGTGGGAGAAAGATTTAGTGAAAAATAATAACTTAGCAGGATAGTATGCATAAAACCTCATTAAGAAATCATGTGACAATTCTGAATTAGCTGCCACACACTGCTAGTACAGAAAAGCAAAGAAAGAGTTTGCATCCAGAAAAGCAAAGAAAACCAGTAATTTGAAAGAGTTTGCCAGATAATTTAAACTCTAAACTCTCCCTGTGCATCTTATCCTTTCTGGTGACACAACCATAATTCTGAATGGAAAACAAAAAGAAATTTTAATTTTGTCATTAATTATCCTGCTCACGAATGTCCCAATAAATCAAATGAAAGAGTTGTAAAATCTCCACTCACTCCCCATCTGGATATATAGCCATTATGCAGTGGAACATTTCGGCACATTGCTTTCCCTTGAAATCTAGTCCATCACAGAGAATAATGCATGATATCAAAGTTTAAACAAACACTCCTGGCCCCCACCCCCCACCCCCTGAACATGCTCCAGGCCCCACAGGCTCCCATCCCATGCTCCTCCCTGAAAGGGACTGCTCCTTTAGGTCCTTGCTGTCCACACAGGCATTGGAGTTGATGTTGGCTCCACCAGCACTTTTTTCCTTGCCTGGTAGGGACGTTGAGAAGCCAAATCCTTCCTGCCTGCTTGCCTTGGACGTTTCTTATAAAATCTTAAGGCACAGAGGAAACAAATATCTTTTGCAAAGAAGCTTAACTAATAAGCAATTACTGATCACTAAGGCATTCAGACAATTAAGTTTGTTTTGCAATTTACATTGAAAACTTGAACATTTTGTTTCAAATCTTTATTTTTAATTTCATTAGTTGTTTGTTTAAACAAAAATGGGCCATACTCTATGTAATTTTCTGTAAATTGCTCATTTTGTTCAATAACAGTGATTTTCAACCTTTTTCATCTCATGGCACACATAAGCCAATTACTAAAATTATCCGGCACACCAAAAATAAATATACATATGTTTTTGCTGATCTAACAAAAAATGGTATAATTTTTATTCATTCACACCAATTGGCTATTATTGTGTTGGCTACTGTCATTTTTTATTTGACATTAAGGGAAAAGAGGTCAGTGCCCCTGACTAAATAATCAGGTATTGTTCCCTTCCATTCTCTAAAAATCAATGGAGGCTTCTTAACAAGATGGCTATGTAGATAAATGCGGTACTTGCTGCCTCCCACAACCACATCAGAATTACAATTAAAATACAGAACCATCATTCAGAACCACCTGAAATCTATCTGAAGGAAGTCCTACAACTAGAGCAGTGGTTCTCAACCTTGGCTGCACATTAGAATCACCTGGGAATCATTTTAAAATCCTGATTTCTTGGCCAGAAATTCTGTTTATTTGTTACTAATGTGTGGCCCCACCCCATAACAAAGAAACAGAATTTCCGGAGGATGAGGCCCAGAAATCAGGATTTTAAAAAGATTCCCAGGCCGAAACCGGTTTGGCTCAGTGGATAGAGCGTTGGCCTGCGGACTGAAGGGTCCCAGGTTCGATTCCGGTCAGGGCATGTACCTTGGTTGCGGGCATATCCCCAGTAGGAGATGTGCAGGAGGCAGCTGATCGATGTTTCTCTCTCATCGATGTTTCTGACTCTCTGTCTCTCTCCCTTCCTCTCTGTAAAAAATCAATAAAATATATTTAAAAAAATAAATAAATAAAATAAAATAAAATAAAAAAATAAAAAGATTCCCAGGTGATTCTAATGTGCAGCCAAGGTTGAGAACCACTGAACTAGAGAATTAAAGAAGAAGCACATCGAGACTGGTAGGAGGGGCAGAGATGCTGGGTGGAAACTCAGGAACTGCCTGGTCCCACACCCACGTGCAGTGGTTTAAAATTGGGAGGGATACCTTGGCTTTGGAGGTTTCCTTGAGGAGCAAAGGGTCCCAGCCCCACATGAAGCACCCCAGCCCCGGGTTCCAGTGCCTGGAAGAGAATTCCCTGAAAGTTCAGGTTGTAAAAACTTGGGGGGCTTGTGGCTGCTGGAGCCCAGGCAGTTCCTCTTAAAGGGCCAGCACACAGACTTACTGAGCCTCATTCCCTCTGTGCTCCAGTGCTGGGGTAGCAGCTTGAAAGGAACCTAAGACATTCAGGGAGGAACTAATTTGTCTGGAATCAGGGCAAGAGGTTGAGGGGCAGCTTTCTCCCAGACAGAGTGCTGGCAGAGGCCAGTGTTCCTTTGTTAATCCCTCCTCCCCGCCACAGAGCCAATAGGCAGGGGCCATATCTGAATCTCCATCAACCTGGCTCACATTCCCACCAACCCTCATTCCCTAGACCCCACTCCTCCCTACTTGCAGGCTCATCCAAGCTATTTCCAGTGGCTTTCCCATACAACTGGCCTCTCTTTCCTCATTCTTCTGACTTTCCTAAAATCTCTCAAACAAGCAGCAGCTGGCCTCAGCATGCCCCTTATCTTTCTCAGGCTAAGATTGGAAAAATATTTTCCTAATGCTTTTACAGTTTTCTTGATTCACTTTAAGTAACAGGATTTAATAAATATGGAATTTTTATACATTGTGTAAGTTAGAGATCAAAGTTCATTTCCTCCACAAATTTATTGCAAGGTAAATAAAAAACAGTTTACATTATCAGAAACTTTTCATATTCTTCATACTTCCTGCAAACTGGTTTCCAGAGGTTTACAGGGGCTTATGTGCCCCAGCAGTACACAGGGCATTCCTAGGTCCTCGCTAGCAGGGGTCGCCTCCATGATAGCCACTGAAGTTGTTCTGGTCAAGTGAGCTCTCCATGTCCTGGGGCCCTTTTCCACTGGGATCTTGTTATTTGCATTGCTATCTCTGCTGCCCTCCTTCAGTTTACATCTGTTGAATTTGATTTTTGACATTTTTAAAATACACATATATTAATTGATTTCAGAGAGGAAGGGAGAGGGAGAGTATAGATAGAAACATCAATGATGAGAGAGAATCATTGATTGCCTGCCTCCTGCACACACCCCATTGGGGATTGAGCCCACAACCTGGGCCTGTGCCCTGACCAGTATCCACCACTGAGCCATTCAACCGCTAAGCCATGCCAGTTGGGTGACATTTTATTTTTTAATATTTTTGTGTCACTTTATTTCAGGTTTGTGTCTTCTAAGAACACTGTGATTGTGCTTTTTATTCTAGTCTAAGAGGCTTTTGTCCTCTCCATTTTACCCAGTTATATTTATTGACATATTAACATAAAGAAAAAACATTCAAACCTGTAAAGAATTTTTGTGAGTTTATTTGAGCCAATCTGTCAACAATTGCTGGGAAACAGAACCTCAACAAGTTGAGATAATGCTCCGGAGAATGGCGGGTTACATCTATATTTATACACTAGTGGCCCGGTGCACAAAATTCGTGCACATTAAAAGGGAATTAATTAGAGGAAATAATTTAATATTGCTATTTGCCCTTTATAATAGAAGTGTCAGAGATGAAAGAAAATTAGTAAAATGTACATGAAAATCTCCCTCCTGTCAGAGTCTGGATCATGCCACAGGACCCAGAGTCAAGTCCCCGCCCACCCACGTGCACCTCAAAATTGCGTAAGCCCCAGACCTGGCAAGCCCCACCCCTGTCAAGCCCTGCTGGGCGGGGGGCACAGCCTCAGGTCCCCCGGCCCCAGCACTGGGGCGGGGGCATGGCCTCAGGTCCCCCAGCCCAGTCCCAGGTCCCCCGGCCCCGTCGTGAGGGCGCAAGGGTGCAAGGGTGCAAGGGTGTGAGGACACGAGGGTGCGACGACCATTTGCACATTAGCTCTTTATTATATAGGACTAGAGGCCCAGTGCACAAAATTCGTGCATGGGAGGGGTGTCCCTCAGCCTGGACTGCACCCTCTCCAATCTGGGACCCCTTGGGAGATGTTCGACTGCCGGCAGTCGGACATCCCTCTCACAATCCAGGACTGTTGGCTCCTAATCGCTCACCTGCCTGCCTGCCTGATTACCCCTAACCGCTTCTGCCTGCCAGCCTGATCGCCCCCTAACTGCTTCCCTGCCGGCCTGATTGATGCCTAACTGCTCCTCTGCCAGCCCAATCGCCCCCAACTGCCCTCCCCTGCCGGCCTGATCTCCCCCAACTGCCCTCCCCCGCAGGCCTGGTTGCCCCTAACTACCCTCCCCTGCAGGCCTGGTCACCCCCAACTGCCCCCCCTGCCGGCCTGGTCGCCCCACACAGCCTGCTGTTTGGTCGTTACTGTTACTGTGATGGCATCATGGACAATTTGCATATTCCTCGATTATTAGTAGAGATTGCAATCAAAGGAGGGATGAAGGTGGGCTATATAAAATCCATTGGTAGTGATAGACTAGAGAGGTGGGAGAAAGCAAAGGTGTAGGGGGGCGAGGAATCCTGGAATTGGATAAAAAGTAAAATGATAGACACATACTTAGGTAGGTTCAGAAACAATGAACATGATAACAACGAAGGAATTTGTGGTATCTGTCCTGGTGCCCAGGCACATTAGATTGTGCCCCAAGGGGCCCAGAAAAAGGGAAGTTACAAGTTACCCAGACATTTCAAGGGTATATTATTATAGATGCAAAAAGACAGGCTCAGTTAAGGCAAAGGTTGACCTTGTCAGTGAAGATACCGGCCTAGGATGTAACTACTCACCATAACTGCTTTTAGTTAAAGTTTAATTTCAGACCATCCTTTGTGGTTACTTTAGGTCTCTGAGTTTGTAAGACCACCATGCAGGCCTCCCCTGAGCTTGTCAGGTTA